GTTTTGTATCCAGGTGTACACTGCCCTTAAAATGTCTTGAAGGATGCTGTCTTTTCAAATTCTGGAAGGATTTATGTAAGATTGGGATGCTCTGAGTATTTGGTAGGATTCTTTTTGTTAAACTAGGCCTTAAGTTTTTCTTGTGGAAATAATTTGAACTGTTACTTTGGTTTCATTTGTAGTTATTTTCTTAAGCTTTCAATTTTTTATTAACCAGTTTCATTATTTTACACTTTTTCCCGGTATTTGTCTATTTTTTCTGAGTTTTCTGATGTATTAATAGAAAATTGATAATACTTCATCTTTACAAACTCGGCTGTATGATGCTCTTTTTTTAAGTTAAAAGTATGATTCATGCTTTGTTTGTTGTGATCTTTCCAGATGTATTCGTTCAGAGTTAACTCATATCAACTTGGTATTGTCGTTTCTTCCATCTCGTTGGCTTCTACTCTGTATCTCTTTTCTTCAGTTATCTTATCTTTCTAATGTCGTAATTAGTCTGTCTTTTCTAGTATATTTAAAGTTATAAATTTCTCTTGAAGCATTGCTTTGCCTGCATGTTTGTCGTGTTCCCGTTGTAATTCAGCTCTCTCTCTCTCTCTAGAGAGCTGATCCACAGTTCTTTAGAAGTGTTTTGTTTTGTTTTGTTTTAATTTTGAAATTACTGCCATTGGATAGTTTAACTTCCACTTAGTAGCCAGGGTTAATTTACCACGTTGTCGGAAACCAGGGCTCCTAACATGAACCCCAAGTTTTTAAAAATAGTAACCAAGCTTAGTTGTGATTTTGTGATCTCACTAGCACCGTGATTAGTATTTAGTTTTGTAACAAGTTTTTTCTGTTACTCAGCTTCGTACCCTTAGTACTGCAGATAGAATAGGTATTTTCATCTTTTTTGTCTTCATTTCCAGGTTTTGAAATGTAATACATTTGACAATAGTGCTGTGAGACAGTTGTCCACTTGTCTCCTGTGTTTCTGCACGTCTCGTGAGAAGCAGTACTGACTCCCTTTGTCCAGATGATCTTTGTGAGGAGGTTTGTACAGCAGGCGGCCCCAGAAGGTAGAGATGTGTCTCCCTCCGGAGCAGAGAGCAGGCACGCTTACAGGCCAGGGTCATAAACATAACATCTCGCTTCAGGGCAAAAGTCAGACAAGGTTACCGCCCATTATAAAGAACTTGGTGGTCCCTCAGCCCAGGTTTCCATGCTCTAATTCAGCCACCTGCGCGTGTGGCATCACCTGGTCTCGTTCACTTTGCGCCTTCAGAATTAGAGCTTGGGCAGCTGGCACCAGTTACACTCATATTGCTTCTGGATGTGACTTCTGCCCCTGACACAAGGGTCTCATGTCTTGTTTCCTGCCCCTTATTCTGAGACCATCTGTCATAGCCCTTGTTTAGTCTGTTCCCTCTCCTTCTGCTCCTCTTCCCCTCCCTCCCTCCCTCCCTCCCTCCCTCCCTCCCTCCCTTTCTTTTTGTCATTTTCTTTCTCTCCCCTCAAGCAGGCGAGGGCTATATGTAGCCCAGCTGTAACTGGGCTAGCCCAGTGGGCTGCCCTGGCCAGCTGGCTCTCTCTCCTGCTGGGCAGCTGCTTCTCCAGGACCAGTGCCTGCACAACTTAACCTGGTACCTGTCTTGCTGCTCTGAAGCCTCTTGCCTTCCCTGTGTGGTTCCCTGTGCACTGGCACGTGTGGAAAATCACAGTCCCAGCAGGTGCTGGCCCCAGGGGTCCCACTGTCTTTCCCCACGCCTGTGGAGTGTGCACTCCAGGGCTGTGTCCCTGGAATGGGAGCCTGCATCTCACTGTTCTCTCCCTGCTTCCTGCTAAGTCCCTCGGGAGTCACTGATTTGGATGGGGAGAGAAGCAGCAGCACTTGGGCCTGAGAGAGAGGAAGGACTGCCGAGCCCTGAGCCCTGGGTTCTCGCGAAGGTGAGACCACCTGCCTTCGGACGACTCCAATCCGTTTCAGTAACAAGGCAGGTGAGACAGTGCTGCGGTTTCTCGCTGGAGCCTTGCACTCTCCCCTCTCACCTCACAGCATGTGGAGGTTATTCCCCAAACCTGACATGAGTCCAGCAGTCTCTACAAGGATTTTACTGGAAAATTAGCGGCGGCTGCTTTGGTGACTGTTCATCAAATGCTATGAAAAGGCAGCGTTCTTGTTTAACCCGTTTGTCCAGAGAATGCTCTTAAGAAGGGCTAGTAACAACCTTCGCTATTTTCAATTTTATATTTACATGTATCTTCTTATCACTCTGCTAACTGAACGGAATTGGGGTTGTGAAATGCAGAATGGTAGCAAGGCTGGAGGCAGACGGCAGCTGTGGTAGATGAGGCCAGGCGAGCAGAGAGGGTCTGAGCCTCAGAAAATGGAAAAAGGCCAGAGAGGGATGAGGTGCAGATGGGCCACCTGCGGCACCAGTGGGGCACGCAGAAGGGGTCCTGGCACCTTAACAGAGACGCTGCTCGTGAGGGGGCCTGTGACCAGTAGAACCTTTCCCCCAGGCACCGTTGTCACAGTCATGTGTCAGTTACCTTTTAAGTATTTCATGTTGTGAATCGCTTTTATTCCACTAGACCGCTATGGGATGTTTTTTGTGAATTTATCACTTTTTGCTATTATAAATGTGATACATTTCTTAGTTCTCCTTGCCTGGATATCCTCAGTTGGATTCCTAGAAATGAGGTCCAGTTAAAGGACATAAACACATTCAAGGCCCCAGAAAGTCACTTGGCCAAGTGCCTAAGACACACGGGAGACTGCAGCCCCACAGCGGGGGCCCACATCCTCCCCAGTAGCAGCGGTTTCACATTTGGATTTTCGGTAACTTTGGAGTAGAACAGTTTTGCATTATTTTTATTTCTTCAGCGAGTGAAGTGGGACATGTTATGTCTACTGTGTGTATTTTGCAGATTCCTTATTGGTATCTTTGGGGTGAGGTTCTAAAGGTGGAGCAGGCCCCTCCCATGTGTGTAGGTGGAAACCCTCTGCCTGGGCCTTCTCAGCAGTCTGTGCATAGCTCCTCCTGCTCCAGGGAGTGCTTTCCAGATAGGGCTGGATTTCTTTTGCGTTCCTGTATTAATTCGTCTTCTCTTTTAGAGACTGGTTGTTACTGCTCTAACATAAGCTCTGTGTGCTGTGTGGTAGTCCCAGGCATCAGTTCTCTGTGGTGAGTGGGGCTGCAGGAAGGGGTGCGGCCAGGCTGGCAGTACCAGGGCCCGAAGTCAGGCTGCCCCCATGAGCTTGCACGTGGAGGTGCACAGAACTGGCCAGGGGCTAGCTGTGTCCTTTTCTTTTACCCATATGAAAGAGCACTTCACATAAAATGCTTTTCTTTTCAAAATTAAAATTTTTTAGAGGTATCTCTTCTTTCTTTTAATATGAATGAGGCTTTAAATGTAGTTTTCTTTCTTTTCCCAAAAGCTTCCACTGAGTGAGTTCTAGTCTTTGCCAATATCCCTGCAAACAAGCTTATTTAGCAGAACTTTTCCCAAGAACAAGTTCATCACTGCCAGACTGCCTTTACCTTGGGGCCACAGAAAAAAGTACAATAGAAGTTTCTGGAAAGTTGGAGCTTTTTGCATATTTTTTTTCAAGTGCAGCTTTAAATAATTTTCGAGAATAAGAAAATACAGTAAAGCTCACTTGGCAGGAGTTTTGTGTTCTAGTTTAAGCAAATAGTTAAAAGCACTATTTGAAAAGTGTTAGCAAGACAATAGAAAAATGTTGATGTGAATGAGAAGTAACTGCAAAACAAAATTTGACAAAAAAAGTTTCTCATTTTGAATATACATAGGCAAGTCATAACAGAAAATTAAGAATTTAGGTATAGTTGTTGGTTGTTCAATGAAAATTGTGCCTTTCCAGGTCAGGGTGAGAATGGGGAGGTCATTGTGAATGGAGAGAATCACTTGTTTTCTGTGGCGGGGGAGTGGGAGCAGCAGAGGCAAATGGACAGTAACATGGAGGTCGGGCAGGCACTCACTTCCTTAGAAGCAAGCGGGAGGAAGGGTTGAAGCCATTTCACTGGAAGAGGAAATCGTTTCTGTTCTTTGAGGACTTTGTATAATTTGCTCTTCGACTTTTAGACTAACCTGTGAAGACAGAAAGTGTCACTCACACCGCTAATGGAGCGCTTCCTAACTTGTTTGGTACAGTTTTAGGACATGAAGGAAAACATGGTTTCTCTCATCACCACTAGAAAAGAGAAATGACAGAAGTGACTCTCAGCTGAGTTCGTCTGGGAGGGAGCTTGGGCTAGAATGACTGATTGCATGTGACTTCCTTCAGCACTTTCTTGTCCTTGGGGTGGGTGCTTTGGTTTTAGGAAAGTTGTACCTACAGAATAAGGGGGTGGAGAGAGCTAAGACCAGCTCATTATTACTTCAGGCTTGCCTCCATTTTCATACTGTGGGGAATTGGTAAATATTTTCAAAAGATAGTAAGAGAAACATTGGTTCTGGATGCTTTTTGTTATAAATTCTTCAACTTTTCCTATAAATACAGGTGAAAACATATTATGGTAGCAATTATGAGATAAATGATAGTTTCATGAAATTAGGTCATTGAACTATATTTTCATCTTGCCATAAGTGTGTTGGTTTTACCTCTTTTTGGAAAAAAACATCTGGTTATTTGGAGAATTCTAAAATAATTAAGGCTTTAGGAAAATTTTGTATACTTGGGAAGTTAAATTTGGTATATTATAAAGTTGTATTTAGTATATTATGCTGTGGCAGCTGTTCATTAATTTCACTTTAATTCTAAAGCTGCCAGAGGGAATTAACTTTTGTTTGAATTCATCGTGGAAGTGTTTATACTGACTCAGGTTTGTCACTGACCGGACTGTTAGAGTCACAACATTTTGTCAATGACTCCCAAAACATAGACCAAAATTGTCCCAGAAGCAGTAACGTTATGGTGCTTTTTGTAAACATAAGAGAAAGGAATTGTTATCCTGCTATGAGAAAAATGTTTAAAACAAAGAGAATAAACAGTGTTGTATAAAATAACAAATTTTATTTTTAGAAAATATTTTACACTAACTGTACACATGCACACACCCACACAGAGCTTAACCACACATTGATTTCCTTTTAATAAAGCTACCACATACTATTATATTACAATTTATAATATATTTTTTGAAGACACAGTGGGGAAAGCTTTGTCATTCATTTATAAACCGTCCATAAATTACAAAAGAAAGGCAGTCTGGAAAGTATGTATAAAAACAATTTACAAGTGGACAAAATTACAAAATAGTAACCATCAAATACATCTGCCAGCAACTTTGTAAGTCTTTTGTTCCAATGCCAATGATGAAGATGGGTATAGAATCATTTGGAGCAGATTTAAATTTAGTATGTTTCTGGTGTGGCTTATGCATTATGTGAATTACGTGTGTGCCATTCATTGGTGTCTATTTGGGCATGGCATTCTGACAACAAAAGTAACAGAAAATCATATGCCACAAAATAGCACATTGAAAGCAATGGAGATTATCGGCCTTCTGGAAGGTTGGAGTACTGCTGCTACCAAAGTGACTTTGTCTCCTTCTCTCCTTTGAATGATTGAGTCAACATTTTCTGTGTGTGGCCTGGCTCACTTTGAAAGACTAAAACTAGTATCTTAAAATGCACAGCCTGTACAACTTGATTTCGAACCACTGTGTCAGTGAGGATGAAGACCACTGAATGCACGACACGTACAAAGTATACACTGTATTTTTATTAGACAGTACAAATCATTGTGCATTTATAAGGCAGAACACCAAGGCGAATTAAACTAGGAATTTCAAGACCAGAGTCAAAGTGAAAGTTATGCATTATGAGGCAAGCATTTTGAGAAGGGAGAAAGGTTGAAAATCATTCCTTGAAGGGCGGATGACAAATGCACAAAGACTGGAATTACAGGCAGGGAGGGAGCTACAGGTGATAGCTATGCGCCCCCCTGTTTGTTAATAAGACATCCCCTCCCACTTCCCAAATCAGAGCTTGGACAATGAAAGCAGACTGCCAGCGGTGACAGAGGGCAACCGCTCCTCTTTTGTTCTCGCGGTTGGTATAAAGTGGATGGTAGTGCAAAAGTGCATTTCTCTACTGGTGTCAGGGGAGAAGATTGGGTTTTTTTAGGAAGTACTTGAGTCATGAAAGCCCTAGTTTGGAATTAAAGAAAATTACATAGATTTGGAAGTTGTCCGGAAGCACATGAATCATTTCACTGCACCCAGCTTTTTCAGCAGTTTCTTGCCTTTGGAAAGCAGCCCCTTTTTCTTTTTCGAGGACATTTCCCTGCCTCTCCCAGGACTACCAGAACCCATAGATGACGTAGGTGACCCCGAATGGAGATGGACTGTGGGGGATGGAGCTCTCCTTGCTGTACCTGAACCCTCAGGAGGAACCTAGTAGGTACAGTGTTACAGTTTATTGAGTGTGTGAGCGCCAACAACAGAATTCACTTGGTAACATCGCACTGTCCCCATTTCCCACCAGGCAAGGTCAAGGGGGTTCATTTGTTCTTTTGGTTGTCAAACTGTGCCACGAGAAGCAAAGGTCCTCCCCCACAGCATGCCAGAGAGAGGACCCAGACATGAAAGTGAGGGGTCTGTGTCTCTGTGTCAAGGGATTGCGGGGTGGCCGCTGCTTTGGCAAAGCTAAGGCAGGTAAGAATTCACTTCATAAATGAAGACTGAGGGCAGGGGAAACATGATTTCGAATTAGGTTGATAGTAAAGTTGGCCGAGTACCCATCAGTAGTCTTAAAAGCAAGAGTTCTTAAGGGGAATTTTGTTGTATCTGAAACTATTTGGTTATATAAAATCCTGATATTGTTAAAGTGCATTCCTGGGTTGGTTAGTATACTATAGAAATATTGGAGATGGCACACTGGTTGAAAGAAAAAAAAAGAAAAAAACTAAAATGAACCTTAATTACAATCAAAGAAAGCTTAAAGGCCCTTAGTGGATGCTTTCGTTATTTCCAAATAATTGAACATGAGCTTTCCTCAGTAGATAGCATGGTAGTATTTCAGTATACGTTAAGTGCTTAATCGTGCTTCAGAGGGGTAGACACTGCAGGACGACTTTGCCTCACTTCCCTTTACAGCTAAGTATGTGCCTGAGTTGACAGAGCACCGTCATTCCTCTGGCCCCACCTCTCCAGAGCAGCTCTTGCCGTGTGAGTGTTCAGTATTCAGCAGGCAAATGCTATAAGCCAAGGGGCTTCAAGCTTGCTTGGATTTAAAATCAAGGTCGAATTCTAATGAAAAACACCTAGAAAAGCATCCCAAAGTACACCTGAAGATACCATCTGTTCCATCTAATGCATCACGTGAGCCGCATGCTTCATAAACTTAGTATTGCATTGGTACACCAGCAGCAAACCCGTCCTTCACCAGCGTCTCAGAATGGCTATGCTTTGAGGAGGAGCAGAGCTCTCTCGTAAGGTAGAGGCATGGTTACTTAAGGAAAACATGCTCTGGCAGTTTGAGCCAGCATTTGGAGGTTCAGAGCCAACACTCGGTCACCCGGGCTCGCTACTTATCTGCTTGACCTCGGGTTAAGGTTTTTAAAGGAGAACTTCCTATAGTAAACATGTTTGTTAGGTTGTGCTTTTTCCAAAAGTGGCTAACAATGCAATATGCAGCTCTCTATGTAAACACACAGTTAGCTGGTTAAGAAATATGTTCCCAATGTTGGCCTTTCAAATATTCTTAATGCAAATAGTAGGAAATGCTTATTAAAGATGTTTTGCTTCACTATAAATTCAGTTGCTTTACAACTGAGACCAAGTAATATTCTAATTATTTAGGTCCAATAAGTTTTTGAGACATATTTCTTTTTATCTCATTGTTTTAACCCCACAAGGAAGCCTTAAGTCTACCACATTGGCCCGTTTAAGGTAGCTTAAGCTGGTATCTTTATCGGTATCTTCAGTTGCTCACTTACGTGAAGGCTACATTGCCTGATTAGGGTGTGAAATGAACACTCTTCTTCTGTTTCCAAGCAGATGAGCAAAGAAATAAAAATATATATATATAAAAATATAATATATAAAAACTTGCAGTGATGAAATAAAATAAAAATGAGATACTAGACATGAATGTAATCTAATAGTTAAATAGCTTGAGAAGCCCTTGGATCCTATGAAGAGGACTGAAATCCTAGCGGAGGGCAAATGACCTTCAATGCCCACCAAATCTGAAGAGGAGCCAGCCCCTTTTCACTCTTGATCAAACTGAAATGTGTTTCTATAATGTAGGATGGGACATTTCTTTGTGAGCAAAGGCAGATTGATTAGAATTGAAAGGGTCTTTTTTTTTTTTGGTAAAATGAGCAAGATTTAGACTTAAGGATTTTTAGGCACAACCCCCATGGAAGGGCAGAGAGAAAAAAAAATCAGGGTATAGGCTTTTCGGCCCAACATGTAAAAATATCAGTGCAAAGACTGTATTAAGACCACGTATGGCAGAGCAGGACAGAGATTAAGAAGGCTGAGTAGGTTTGCTTACCCTTTTTGCCTTTGAGCGCATGGGTGTGTCTTGAGAGTAGTGGGATGGAGCGTCAGAAAGATAGACTTCTACATCGTCAGGCACTTCTTCCAAGAAGTTTGAGGGCACAAGGCCCTTCTGCCCATTCAGCTCCCCCTAAAACACAGGGGTGGGGCAGAAGAACTGTTTATTTTTCTAGAAACACACAGCTTGCTTTAGCTAAAGGACTACAGCTCAGAGTACAGGTACATGTTGAGTTCATTCTGGTTCAAGAGTGGCAGGACTCGAAAGGACTCTAAATGGAGGTTTCCAGATTTTCCTCAGCAAGATGCAGAGTGCTGGGCCCCTTCGCCTGTCCAGGGGGGAGGTGAGGAATCTGCCTTTTGGACGAGGAGCCCCTGTGATTCTTAGGGTCAAGCTACTGAAGGAAACACTTCCTTGGTACACCTCAGTTAGTGGTTCTCAGGCTTGGCTGATCTGAGGCACTAAGGAGCTGCTAAGAACACCATCGCTTAGCACCCTAGCCCAGGCCAGTGACCACTGCTCAGTGCACCAGCCCCAGCCCAGATCAATGACCACTGCCCAGCGTGCCAGCCCAGGCCAGTGACCACCGCCCAGTGCACCAGCCCAGACCAGTGACCACTGCCCAGCACACCAGCCCAGGCCAGTGACCACTGCTCAGTGCACCAGCCCAGACCAATGACCACCGCCCAGCGTGCCAGCCCAGGCCAGTGACCACCGCCCAGTGCACCAGCACAGACCAGTGACCACTGCCCAGCATGCCAGCCGAGGCCAGTGACCACTGCTCAGTGCACCAGCATGCCAGCCGAGGCCAGTGACCACTGCTCAGTGCACCAGCCCCAGCCCAGACCAATGACCACAGCCCTGCGCGCCAGCCCAGGCCAGTGACCACTGCTCAGTGCACCAGCCCCAGCCCAGACCAATGACCACAGCCCTGCGCGCCAGCCCAGGCCAGTGACCACCGCCCAGTGCACCAGCCCAGACCAGTGACCAGCATGCCAGCCGAGGCCAGTGACCACTGCTCAGTGCACCAGCCCCAGCCCAGACCAATGACCACCGCCCAGCGTGCCAGCCCAGGCCAGTGACCACTGCTCAGTGCACCAGCCCCAGCCCAGACCAATGACCACCGCCCAGCGTGCCAGCCCAGGCCAGTGACCACTGCTCAGTGCACCAGCCCCAGCCCAGACCAATGACCACCGCCCAGCGTGCCAGCCCAGGCCAGTGACCACTGCTCAGTGCACCAGCCCCAGCCCAGACCAATGACCACCGCCCAGCATGCCAGCCCAGGCCAGTGACCACTGCTCAGTGCACCAGCCCCAGCCCAGACCAATGACCACAGCCCTGCGCGCCAGCCCAGGCCAGTGACCACCGCCCAGTGCACCAGCCCAGACCAGTGACCAGCATGCCAGCCGAGGCCAGTGACCACTGCTCAGTGCACCAGCCCCAGCCCAGACCAATGACCACCGCCCAGCGTGCCAGCCCAGGCCAGTGACCACTGCTCAGTGCACCAGCATGCCAGCCCAGGCCAGTGACCACTGCTCAGTGCACCAGCCCCAGCCCAGACCAATGACCACCGCCCAGCGTGCCAGCCCAGGCCAGTGACCACTGCTCAGTGCACCAGCCCCAGCCCAGACCAATGACCACCGCCCAGCGTGCCAGCCCAGGCCAGTGACCACTGCTCAGTGCACCAGCCCCAGCCCAGACCAATGACCACCGCCCAGCGTGCCAGCCCAGGCCAGTGACCACTGCTCAGTGCACCAGCCCCAGCCCAGACCAATGACCACCGCCCAGCGTGCCAGCCCAGGCCAGTGACCACTGCTCAGTGCACCAGCCCCAGCCCAGACCAATGACCACTGCCCAGCGTGCCAGCCCAGGCCAGTGACCACTGCTCAGTGCACCAGCCCCAGCCCAGACCAATGACCACAGCCCTGCGCGCCAGCCCAAGCCAGTGACCACTGCGCAGCGCACCAGCCCAGACCAATGACCACCACCCTGTCTATTGATATCTCCTCAGACATTACTGCTTCAGGTTGGTATGTATCCTTCCAGATCTCTCTGCTCATTTACATATCTATGCCTTGTCGAAAGTCGAGATCCGTAAGTCCCAACTCCCTGCTGGTCGTCTGCACCGAGTGGCTGACAAGTTCACCACATCACTTCCCCAAACTCTCTTCTGCCTCTTAAGTGCCTAAACCAAGTTCAAAATTGGCTGGCTCTGTGCAACATGGGATATAATGACAAAAGGAGTCTACTACATCAAAACACCCCTGCAGCAAAGGACACAGCAGAGTGATGAGCACCTAGGGAATGGGAGAAAACGTCTGCAAATCATGTATCTGCTAAGGGGTTAATATCCAGAATATATAAACTTCAAAAAGCCCAAGTAAAGACGTTTCTCCAAAAATGAGATTCAGATGACCAGTGCCCACAAATCACTAGGGAAATGCAGTTGAAAACCATGTTGTACCACCTCACACCATTAAGATGGCCACTGTGAAAACAATGGAATAAAAACGGTGAAGCTACAAAGAAACTGGAATGCGTGCACTGCTGGTGGGAATGTGGGGCGGTGCCACTGCTGCTGAGATCAGTGTGGAAATGTGGGGCGGTGCCACTGCTGCTGAGATCAGTATGGCGGTTTGGGAAGATGGAAATGTGAGGTGGTGCCACTGCTAATGAGATCAGTATGGTGGTTTGGGAAGACGGAAATGTGAGGTGGTGCCACTGCTGCTGAGATCAGTGTGGCGGTTTGGGAAGATGGAAATGTGAGGTGGTGCCACTGCTGCTGAGATCAGTGTGGCGGTTTGGGAAGATGGAAATGTGAGGTGGTGCCACTGCTGCTGAGATCAGTGTGGCGGTTTGGGAAGATGGAAACCGTTCTAGAGATGGATGGCGGTGACTGGTTGCACAACAATGGAAACTTGCTCAACACTACTGAAGTATACACTTAAAAATGATTTTAGATCTTTTTTTGAAAAACTGAGAGTATCGCTCTGTCACCCAGGCTGGAGTGCAGTGTCATGATCTCTGCTCAGAGCAACCTCCACCTCCCAGGTTCAAGCAATTCTCCCACCTCAGCCTCCCAAGTAGCTGGGATGGCAGGCATGCACCACCATGCCTGGCTAATTTTTGTATTTTTAGTAGATGGGGTTTCACCGTGTTGGCCAAGCTGGTCTCAAACTCTTGACCTCAGGTGATCTGCCCACCTCGGCCCTCCAAAGTGCTGGGATTACAGGCTGAGCCACTGCACCTAACCAATTTTAGGTAAATTTTATGTAGATTTTATCACAAACAAAAATTAATTGAAAGAGGCTACCCCACATACATCCTGCATCCTCCTGTCCAGCAGCCCTGCCAGGGACACACTCACTGTCCTGCCCTGCCCCACTCTTCTGCTTGGACCTTGAATATCCAAGCTCTTCTCTTACTTACGTGCAACTGCCCTGGGCCTTCCCACTCCAGCTCCGTTGTGAGCTTATGTTTCTCTGTTGATGTTACAGCCTGTTTCTAGGCCACCTATCCTTTTACTGTGCAGGTGCCCCTGGCTATTTCTTCCTAACAAGGGTTTTAAACAACATCTAAACACAGACACTCAGAAGTTATAACCAGTCAAGTCCCCTCGTTAGGTCCAACAGCCAGATCTCTCCTCCAGCCTTAGAAAAGATTCCTCCTGGGGGAGGACTCAAGATGGCGCTGTGAGAACAACCCAGGATTGGAGCTGTCATTGAATCCACAAAGAGGTGAGTCGGAGCTGCATTTCCAGACTGATCTTTGTTGCCCACAGAATGGGGAAACTCCCAAGTATAAAAAAGACATGGGACGCCAGGCAGTAGGTCTGCCTGGCAAAGCCGGCAGCCGGGGCGGCGGCGGCCGGCCCTACCCAGCAATCCCCACAGGGCACGCTTGTCCGGGTGCCCTGTTGAACCGGCAACCTGAGACTTGAGAGGGCTGGACTTGAGACTGAACGAGACTTGGACAGTAGGCCAGCCCAGGGGATTGCAGGGACAGATCGTTTGGGGTACCCAGTGGGACAAACAAAACCGTGATTTCAAACTATCCCGAGCAGACGGTCCGAGACGCTCTGTGGGGGAGGGGCGTCCACCACTACCGAGGCAACCCGCCCCAACTGAGATACACGCCTACTGCTGACGCAGCCAGCCGTTGCCGAGGCAACCCGTCCCTACTGAGATACACGCCCACTGCTGACGCAGCCTTCCGTTGCCGAGGCAACCCGTCCCTACTGAGATACATGCCCACTGCTGACGCAGCCTGCCGTTGTCGAGGCAACACGCTATAACGAAGAGACTCCGCCGCAGGGCGTGGCGGAGACCACAGCAGAGCCTGCAGGAACAGGGCGAATCACACAACAGCAGGGCGGAGCCTCAGCAGCCAAACGGTGGCTAGTCTGCCTTCTAGCTGGGCAGGACACCTCAACGGACATCGAAAAATAAAGCCCGAACCCCCCAACACAGAGTATTTGAGAAAAAAAGGGTTTTTTTAATGAGCTCTGTTGCAGCAGAATCAAACATAGCAGCCTAACAGCCCTGAATAAACAACAGAGCTCACAGCTCAGCAATTGAGCTCCAAAAAACTACAGACTGTCTCCACAAGCAGCTCCCTGACCCCTCTATATCCAAAAGACTGACATTTGGCAGGCATCATCCTGGGACAAAGATAGCAGAAAAAGAAACGGGTAGCATCCCTCACTGTGCCACAGCTGCTAGAGGTGCACCCCAGACAAGCAGGGCCTGGAGTGGACCTCAGCAGTCATACAGCGAAGGGGATAGGCTGGTAGAAGGAAAACCAAGTAACAGAAATACTTCATCATCAACAATCTTGGTGTCCACTCAGAGACCCAATCGAAAAGTCAGCAACTACGCAGACGACAAGCGGATAAACCCACAAAGATGGGAAGAAACCAGCGAAAAAAGGAGGAAAACACCCAAAACCAGAACACCTCGCCTCCTAGAAAGGACCAAAACTCCTCACCAGCAAGGGAGCAAAGCTGAACGGAGAATGACTGTGACGAAATGACGGAATTAGACTTCAGAAGGTGGATAATGAGAAACTTTTGTGAGCTAAAAGAACATGTATTAAATCAATGCAAAGAAACTAAGGAACTTAAAAAAAGATAT